TTGAGAAAGGTAAGAGTGAGCGTAGGTGGTGACAGAAGGTGATGTGTGGAGGAGAATCAGATGTATCAGGATTTAGATTTTGGTTAAAGAATAGGAGGAAGTGGTCTGATGAGTGCAAGGGGGTGGCTAGCAAATAGTCAGTGGAGCAGAACCAGGGGTAGATGAGGTCCAGTTGGTTACTAGATTTGTGAGTAGCTGAAGCAGGCACACTCTACAAAAAAAGAAAAAAAAAGTCAGGCAGAGTAGAAATCAGTTGCATAATGTTTATCTAGGTGGATTCTGAAGTCTCCATGCACCACTAGAAAAGTACCATCCTTTTTTACCTCCTCCAAGAAGCTTTCTAGTTGTCCTGGAGAATGAAAAATGTTTACAAAAGTGATTTTTATAGGGTGGGTAATAGGCTTGGGCGGTCTCCAAATTTTGATACCACCAATCCTCCTCCCTATTTTACCTCGGTATACGGTATTACTCCGAATAATAAAAAAACAAATATGACGTAAGGCTCAAACAGAGTCACCAAACTCTAGGCTTGTGCCTAAACCATTCAGAAACTGAATACCAAACACAATAACAAATTATATATTATAAATAATATATTATAACTTCTATTACAACAGTCAACCAGAATTAAAATTACATAAACATCCAGACAAGTTTACACGCAGAGATGCGCACACAATCATTTCAATTAAATCTTACCGCCTGAACAATGTTTAATAACAAAGAAGAGCAGCACTTGAACATTATCTCTTTTTCATCCAGGCAGCTTGAACTGGGCATCTAGGACCTTTACCATATCCTTAAAGAACTTTTTTTTCTACTGTGAAACGAGACCATTTTTCTCCTCTTCTAGTATTTTGTCACTGCATCAGTACAGACTTTCCAATGGACATGGTCCCTTTTGTACTTATTCTTTTCATCCATTATCGTTGGCTGTGTACTAGACGTGGACCTAGATGTTGTTGGTCCTGCATTGGGAGGTGTTAAAACTCCTGAGTGAATTCGAGTCTATTCTCGCAGCAGTGAGTGGATAGTGATTTCGTATATGCGTATTGGGTTCAAGGTATTTTCATCTCTCGCGGTCACCTTTTTGTTGCACAATTTGCAAATTTCCTCATCCCAATTTACCGCCTCTCCCTTCTTGTTTGGTCAAAATCCAAAATACATCTAGACCAGGTCACTTGGTGCACGACTTGCTAACTTTCCACACTTCTGTCTTTCTCCTTCACGCTGTCCACTGATGACAACTACACATACGCAATTTTAGTCAATAAATAAACTATATTTAATACTTGTTACCCTATATAAGTGCATTGTTTTATGAGGGTAAAACGGTATTGAAACTGATACTATTGCTATTTTTAGATCTCGTGGTATACCATATTACAGTTTTACCACTCAAGCCTAGTGGGTAAGCATAACAGTCAAAAGAACTGTTAACATGTTGTGATACATGATTAAGTTTCCAGTGGTTAGAGACGTTATTTGTGGATAGGGTTGTAGGTGTAGCCATGTCCTGTGGTTTAATCCAAGTCCCAATTACGGGCAGAGGATTGAGATTAGAATGGGCACTGAGAGTTAAAATGAAGTCTGCTTTGTTAACAGCAGACTGACCGTTCTGTATCAATTTTAAAAGAATGCAAATTGTTGGATAAGTGTAGACAAAATTGCACAGATTATTTAGATTGCATCGCCTACTAAGTGGTTTGCCGTTTGTAACAGTAGTAACTGTTATTAACAGTGGAGATAATTGGAACAAAAAACAAAAATCTCAGAAAAATCACCAGAAGCATAAATAAATAAATAAATAAATAAAGATACTTTTGTATGGTCCCTGCTTGCTGGCGTTTCACAGGTAAAGTCACTTTTCTTAATACTCCTCGCTTTTCCCTGAGGAGAGCTTTATAATGGCTGATGTAGCCCCTGACTAGTTGATTCATCATTCTGCAGGACATGCCTTGATATTTACATTTTACAGCTTAAATGCACCCAATGTGGCACAAGAACAAGCACAATGTGACATAAGATCAAATGACACTCAGAGCAGTGGTCAAAAGATTACTGAAAAATCATACTTAAATAAAAGTACCATTACTTGCAAGTAGAGTAAAAGTATATGTTGTAAATATTATAGTATGAGTAAAAATTAACTCGAGTAGCTGATGTGTTCATATGTAGTTTGTGGATGTGTGTGTAAACGTAACACTCTGTAGTGTATTTAGTTATTGTTAAGGCAATTTTGGTCTCATTTAACCAAATAGGACATGTTCCTGGATTAACATCTGTTGATAACGTATGAATTGGTCTGTTGATATGTTGATAACGTATGGATTACATTTTTGAACGAAAATTGTTACAGTATCAACATAGGTGTTAATCCATGATCACATCATACTTGGCAAAATCATGACATTCTACAGTAAACATCTGTCATCTTCTCATCAGTGGCATACAGTCTAAACAGACTCTGGGTCTTTGTGTGTAAAGATTTTAGATGTCTTCTTGGACACTTATAACTGCTTCCAAACAGTTATAAATATTGCATTTGTAAGTAGCGCGTGACTTGAGATAGTTCTTTCTAAGTGCAATTTGATTGGACTGAAATCACAGAACTGAGTTTTCTAATCCCCATAGACAGGAAAAATAAAGTAGTGGCTGCAAGGATGAAGGAAAGTAGTGGAGTAACAAACACTAGATATCTCATACAGACCCTGAGCATGTGTCAATAGCGCCGCCACATTTGTACAGTGCTCCCAGCACAAATGTCATTCAACCGCACTTAGTCAAGACCAAAGCTAATGTGACTGTGTACGGGTGTAGTAATGATCAAACAAAGAAAACAAACCACAAAGGCAGAACATTTCATAGGTAAGATTTCGTTTTTTTGTTTTGTTTGTTTTTTTGTATATTATGAACCTTTGTGCTAAGCAAGTAACTTTATTGATCATAATACATTCACTTACTGCATTCACCATAAGGCAAACTTGCACTAAATTCTAGGCTCATGCTAGTTTTGTTAAATAAAATCAGCTAACATTGTAAATGAAATATGACAACAAGATGCTGCAGTGCTAGAAACTTGTATTATAGTCGGTTAAGTGAACGAGTGGTTCATAAAGGAGATTCATTCACAAATAAATCACTCATTTCGTTAGAATTAGAAGTGAAAGCAGGAGAGAGGATGTGTTACAGGACACAGATTAGATCAAATATAACTGGGAGGGAGGATAATACATCTCTATGGACACAAACACATGCTTTTTATCAGCAATGTCTGTGCGGTCACTTATCCATTGATTTATAAAAGTGATGTAAAATTCTAAATTTCGAAATTTAATAAAAATTTGCATAATGACCACTGGAAAACATCTGATTATAGATATATGTATATGTGTGTATATCTCTGGCTCTGGATGACCAGACCTCCACTGCACATGGTACCGCATTGATTTCAATTTGATTTTGGTACCCTATACCAAAATGGCATCTCTATTGATAAATTCCTTCCAATAGACAACAACAGGGTAGGTGACATCTAATGTAAATATCAATAGTGGAGTAAAAGGACCGATACTGCACTAAAAATGTACTCAAGGGAAAGTAAAAGTACACACTATTGAGTAAATAAAAATTTCTGAAAAAACTACTCAATTACAGTAATTTGAGTATTTGTAATTTGTTACTTTACACCACTGACTATGACAACTAAATCAAATCAAAATGCTCACATTCAGCTGTTCCCTTCTGTTGCTTCCATGGATCAATTCTTTAGGCCTCCAACTGCATACAGAAGATCTAAGATACAGAAACTAATATATGGACAAATATACTCAGTACTGTGCAAATGTCTTAAACCACCGTCAGCTTTAATGGGCTAAAACTTTCTCACAGTACTGCATGTCGGTGTCTGAGCTTTCTTCTCAACAGACTAGAGTTGATGAATCCAACTGAATTCCCCTCACGTCTCTGAATTATTGTTCCCTGCTTTTAAATCCACTCAGAAACAATTGCAATTAACGCAGACGGACTGCGTGTCAGAATTAATCTGGCTTTAGCCCGGCTCTCAGAAAAACTCAGCCATGCTCCAGTCACATCTTCAAATTACCCTGCACTGCTTTCTGCCGCAGCTTCTCCCTCTGTCATATTTGATCGATTGTTTGCAGAATTGCACAGGGTGGATTGTGAGGGCTGAAGCTCTGAATGCTATTTTTTTCTCGTGCAGTTATTTAGCCAGGTGATTATTGCTATGTGTTTATACGCCATATTTGAGTGACTATTTTTTCAGTCTGGATACCTGTAATGATAGTGAGACCTACAGATGAATTGTACGATTATTTAACATGAGAGATGAAAATAAAATATTATTAAAAACGCAGGTTTAAGGATAAATGACTGACTATTGTTCTGAATCATTTTTGTTTCTTCTTTTCTCTATTCCTTTGTGCTGTCTTGATTTGTGATGATGATGAGTCTGGTCATGCTCCAATTGCATATAACCATTCTAGTCCTATCTCAGTTGTTTCAAATGCAAAAAGAGGCTTCAATTTTATATATATATATATATATATATATATATATATATATATATATATATCGCTTTAAAAAAGCGATGGCAATAAATAAATACATTGTTGACTACAGAGATTTAGAATTTGTGCAAGACTACAATGCAAACACAAGCAATACAGTGATATATATATATATATATATATATATATATATATATATATATATATATATACATATATATATATATATATATATATACTGTATAAATAACTGAATAACTACTTAATAACTAATTTACTATTAGCTAACCACACCCTTTAATTTACTACAGGAAAAAATAAATAAGGAATGTCACTGCATTTTCTATAACATTCAGCAGGGAGGTTGTCTTGCAATGCTCGCTCCTTCTCTGAATTCACTACACTGATTATTTTCTGCCCCCTGGTGGCTAAATTCCAAACCCACATTTGAATTGATTTTTCCTCTTCCAGAGCCCTCAAGTTATGTGGTCCAGGTGGTCCTTTGCATGTGAAGCTCATAATTGAATGGGACAACAAAATTAAAGAATGGTGAGATACATGCAGCAGCATAAATCTTCTTATTTTTTAGACATTCGTTTAATTTAAGATCACAGTAAGAGCCAAATGCCTTAGTATTAGTAAGAGTGCAACATAATTTGTAATTTACTATTCATATCTGTTTTAGCCTCTTTGGCAATATTCAAGAGGAGGTGATTGAGGATGCAGAGAGTGTGAGAATCCAGCAGCAGAATCATGTACAACAGCACAGCTGCACACTGGATGACTGTTTTCAGCTCTACACCAAAGAGGAGCAGGTATTCTTTCATCCAGTTACTTTCCCTGTTTATTTATCTATCCTCACAAAGGCTGCATTTCTTTGATCAAAAATATACACTGCTCAAAAAAATTTAAGAAAACTCCTGGGATTATGATCTGATCAGTTGAAGTAACACTCCACTATTTGTGAAAATAGGCTCATTTTACAAGTCGCAAGTTCTATCATTTTTTAATCCATTCAGCCAATATCCAGGTCTGGTGGGAGAGCTTTTAGCTTAGCTAAGCAGAGTTAATTGAATCAGATTAGACCATTAGCATCCAGCTCAAACATTTTTGGTCATTTTTCAATTTAAAACTTGACACTTCTGTTGTTACATTGTGTACCTAGTTGAAAAGTTGCTATTTTCTAGGCCGATATGGCTGTTCTCTCATTCTGGTGTAATAATCAAGGAATGCAGTTGCCACAATGATCTTGGGGAAAGTTACTTTTGAAAGTAATGTATTACAATATTCAGATACTCCCCAAAAAGGTAACTAGTTGCATTACTTGGTTACTTTTTATGTAAGTAATGCGTTATATTAATTTTAAGTTACTTTTACATAACTTTTTCTTACCTCTTTTCTTCCTTTTTTCTAATAGAGAAGGTTTGCAATTAACAGCACACTGTATAACCTTTATTTACTTTTAAAAACACATAATAATTGAGGATAATGTTATCTTCTGATAATGTCCTGAGCCCAGAGCTCTACATGACGTATATTCAGATCAATGAAAGTGTAAAGCAGTGTGTTTGCTGCTTTTGTACTTTTTGTCTTATAAGTAAAGTAAAGTGAGCATTGAGGCAATTACCTTTTACTCTTCTTCCATGCATTAGGAATAATGAGAACACTTTAGCGCAGAATGCCATCTTGTTTTTTTTGTTTATTTCTGTAGAGAGAACATTTTTTCATTGAGTGTGGGATTCAACGTTTATTTTAATTTAGCAATTTATGGTTTAAAAGACAATTAATTAAACTAAAAAGTAACATTACATTTTTTTTAAAAAGGGACCTCAAATATTATTACTTCATTTTTTTTTAAAGTAATGCATTACTTTACTTTTTCCTAAGAAAATTAATATTATTACCTAACCTGCTAAACTTAATGATATTATTTAGATATAACTGGTAGTGCAAGTGTAGGTCTTGGGCTAAGGACTATTTTCAGGTGCAGTGAAATATCATCACATCTACAGTAACAATAGTATTTAAAGTGTTTCTAATATTTTGTGGCGGGGTAAATTTTTAAAAAAGTGTTTAATCCATTTTCATTAATACTTAGTACATTTCATTCATACTTAGTTAAGTGAACAAGAAGTGTTTGTGAGACAACATATTTTTCAAAAGTTTTGAAAGGGAAAGCAAAGCTAACATCATCGCAAAGGAATGCAAAAGTTTTGTGGGGGATGCAACTTTTCTCATGTCCACGTCCCTTTAGTGGCTACGTAAATAGTGGTTATACATTATAATACAGGTTTATTAGTTAATGCATTTACTAACATGAACTAAGAACAACAATTGTTCATCATTCATTTATTATAGTTCACTATTCTTTAATAGATTGTTATAATCCAGTTTGCATGTAACATTTGTTAATGCACTGTGAGTTGACACAAACTGACAATGAACAACTTTTCATTTCCATTAATCATTAGCCAAGGTGACTAAATACTGTAATTCATATTCTGTTCATTATTTGTTTATGCTTGTTAGTAAATACATAAACTAATGCTAGTAAAATCTCAACACATTCTTCTATACACAAACAATTAGTCTATCATTGCTGTTTTTATCAAGTACCCACATATACACATAGACTGAACAAATGATTTGAAACATATACACATGACGTGTTCTCACAAATTAACATTTTTGTAATTTACACAGATACAATAAGTGAAAAAAAAACTTTTAAAAGACCTTATGAAGCTGTTGTTGTCTTAATGCACCACTAAAAGGTTTTCAGATTTTATTTTAAAATACCAGTAGTATGACTTATTAGTGAAACTCTTTTCAACCAGAGCTGAAAAATGTCAGACAACATTATTATTTTTTTTTTTTTTATTACAGAGGATGTGATGCTTCGTCTTCTATTCTAGACTTATGAATTTAGTGCCACTGCAAACACAGACATGGCCTGTTGCCCACATCATCTGTTTACTGTCTCAGAGGAAAATGTTTAAGTATGAAATGAGTTTTGATGAAAAGAAAGAACTTAAATCAGCTCCTAATAATGTGGACTAAAAAATACTTGAAAACAGTGATTACTTTGAAATCTCCTGTGATGTAGAGAGCTCTACAATCAAACACAAGAGCCAACCAATTATAGAAATCCATATTCTAACAGACCATTTATGCATTTAGGATCTTCAGAATTTGAATCAATTATGTTGTTAGGATAATAGGAGCTTTTGAGTTAATTTTCTGCAACATGTACTGTATGTGATTGAGATTAATTATTTGACATAAAGGTGAGCATGCTGTGCTTTATATATCGTTTCATAAGCAAAGAAAAAGATGCACAATATAATATGCACTATTGCCCAATCCAAATAATCCGAACAGAATTATTTGTGGAGGGCAAATGTTGAAAAGAAAATGTTAGAGTTCGTTCAGTAAATTCAGGAGAAAATGTTCTCTGCGGGATCTGTACTTGCACGTCATGGTGGTAGACATTTTGATTAGCAGGACTGGTCGCTATTGAATATTCAAGATTATTCAGGCTGATTTAAAACCCACTCGAGGAGCAAATGTCTCCCTCCTACCGTCTTTGTCTCTCGCGTCCAACATCTTCTGAATCTCTTTGAAAAGACACTCTGAATTCATTCTTGTCTATACACACTCTGCCTATTCTTGACAAGCACCACTTGATAAATCATACCCCGTGAAGCAGTGAGTTCCCTTATTATGACTGGCTTCACAAATGATCATCGATCCTAAAAAAAAAAACCTTTAGTCATTACTGAAGCAAAACAAGGACTTCAGTTCTGATGCCAAAGGGGCTTTTAAGATGATGTGCATTGAATGGCAACTTTCCAGCTGGAATTAAATTGTTGCTTTTTTCCTGTAATAAAATTCTTGATGTTACAAAATATCTGTAAATATTTAAATGTTGTGATGTTGCTGTTGTTGTGGTTGTTGTTATTTTCCTCTCTGCATGTGCACTTAAATCCAGTCTGCCACAGCAGTGTATTTCTGGCCTGGGCGTAAATGTTCTACTGCACCACACTGAGACAAAGCAGGTTCAGATAATGACACCAATTTGTTAACCGTGAAGAATCAAAACATTCTTTCTGCAATTTGACCAATCCCCAGAAAAAAAAAGAAGCTTATTTGATGTTATACAGATGCTATTTTTTTTTTATTTGTTATTTTAATGAGAGTATCTGAGTAATTAAGGAAACTAACTGATTTTTCTATGACATACATTAGTAATGCATAAGGGTGTGTACACATTTGGCAGGTTCCATTCAATTAAAGCAGATGCTGCCATGTTTGTTAAAGGGATTAATTTGAGAAAGTCAGAACACTGCCATCTGTACCCTGGTAAAGCCTGACTGAATAATGTATGCATCATTAACCAGACATCTAAACAGACCAAATCAGATGTGCTGTCACTAAGAACATGCTCATGTCAGACATTCCACCTCTCCCGGAAGCTACGGGAGTCTCTTGTATGTTCACAGCGGCTCCCTTGATGCCTGCAAATGACATAAAATACCCTGGAAATCATTGAGGCAAAAAAAAAAAAAAAATGAGCAAGAGGAAAGAGCACTGTTAGTGCAAGAGAGAGTATATCACATGCAGTGATACAGTAATCCTTTAACTACATGCCTGTTGCACTAAAGATACCTAAAGTGCAAATCACAGCATGTATCCATCCCTCTCTCCCTCATAGACTTGCATCACTTTTGCTTTTTCATGAATATGCACTCAAGCTATTTAATACCACCACGCTTTCTATTAGACAAAGATATGCTGGTATCACTATCAATAGATTAATATTCATTCATTTTCTTTTCGGCTAGTCCCTTTATTAATCAAGGGTCGCCATAGTGGAACGAACCACCAACTTAATCAGCATATGTTTTACACAGCGAATAACACACTATATAAAAAATTCAGCTCATTTACCTGTACCTCATCTTTGGACTGTGGGGGAAACCGGAGCACCCGGAGGAAACCCACGTGAACACAGAGAGAACATGCAATCTCCACACAGAAATGTCAACTGACCCAGCTGGGGCTCGAACCAGCGAACTATTTGCTGTGAGGCGATTGTGCTACCCACTGCACCACCGTGACGCCCATAGATCAATATAATTTCTAATTATCAATATCAATAGAGCCTTGCATTTATTTAGCAATTACTTATAAGACCTTGGAAAATTTTGCTCAGCCAGATGGTAACTAAATTCATTTTAATTTAAAAACACTTGACTTGAAGGGGTGTTCGTAAGACTGTCATGACACGTTTCAGGCCTGCTTTGTTTGTGGAAATAAATCTGATGGAAATTGGATATGTGACAATGCGACTATCATGTAAACAGGCAGATTTGATTTATTAAGGCATTCCAATGTGTACGTCATTAAACTTTTAACCATGTGGTAGTTCTCCACCAAAAATATATACACTAAATATCGCATACAGACCTTGAACATGCGTCAATAGCACCGCCACATTTATACAGTGCTCCCAGGACAAATGTCATTCAGCCCCACTAAAGCTAGTATAAAGATACCGGACTTTAGTGCTGTGTACAGGTGTAGTAACAAGCAAACAAGAAAAACAAAGCATTAAGGCACAACATTTCATATGTAAGATTTCATTTGTTATGTTTTAGTTTGTTACGAACTTTTGTGCTCAACAAGTATTGATGATAATAGTCACTTACTGCACTGACCATACGGCAAAGTAACACCAACTCACACTAAATACCAGGCTTATGCTTATGTTTTGTTTTGTAAAATCAGCAAACAATGTAAAAAAAATATGACTACAAGATGCTGCGAAGCTAGAAACTTGTATTATTGTCGGCTAAGTGAACGAATCATTCATAACGGAGATTCATTCACAAATTACATTCACATTTTCCCTCCTTCAGAACAAGTGAAAGTGGGAGAGTGGTGTGTTTCAAGACACGGATTAGATCAAATTTAACAGGGAGGGAGGATAATACATCTCCATGAACACAAACACACACTCTTTGTCAAGAATGCCCGTGCGGTCACTTATCCATCGATGTATAAAAGTGATGTAAAATTATATTTTAGTCATTTAAAAAATATATGTGTATACTGACCAGCGAGAAAACTCCCGATCATAGATATATGTATATGTGTGTATATATATCTCTGGCTCTGAATGGCCAGACCTCCACTGCACCTTGGTCCCGCATTCATTCAAGAAGCACTACCCTGTACCAAAATGGTGGCTCTATTGACGCATTTCATTCCAATAGACAACAATAGCGTAGGCGATACCTATGTGAACATCTACAGTTCTCCACGGTTTTATAACAAGAAGGCAGAGCGTCTGTGGAGACGCCGACACGGCGCCGACACAAAACAGAGGATTTGCTCATCCTAAAACTTCTGACCCACTGCTCCTCATTAAAGCAGGCCACAATTTGCTCCCACCAGACCCGAAATCTCTCATACCCACAAATTCCTCTGAATGGTGGAGTACACCATATATAAACCATAGGCGCAAGCTGCAATGAGGGCCCTTTCTTTCCTCCTTTGCCTCAAAATAATTTTAAAGTTGGGCAAACTTCGCACATTTTGCAGAGCTAAAAGCGAAGCAATTTCTTCCATGGTGGCTAGTGTGGTGTAGATGCTACAACCCACCTTTATGCATGCGCAACGTCATAAATTGTATGGCAAATGTAAACACATGAATTGGATATGGATCACAATTAAAAGAATGTGTAAACGGACAGGCACAATAATCAGATATAGGGAACAAATTGGAATTGGCCATCAGGACCTGACAGTGTAAACGTGACCCTTGTTTGAGATGACTACATGATAACTTGCCATTACAACATAATGTGTCATAAAATGTCATAAACACGATTCTCATGAGGCTTTTGTGTCAAGATTAATTGCGTCAAGATTACTCTTATGATCAGTGTTGGGAATAGTTACTTTTGAAAGAAATGCTTTACAATATTGAGTTACACCCCCAAAAAATAACATTACTTTTTCCTAAGTGGCTGAGGCTTGTTCTCTTTTAAAACTTGCAGGTGTGTTTTCCATTTTTCTTTTTAAATTAAGGTGCTTCGCATTTAAAATGACAACTGAAATAATGACACTAGATGACAGTTGTCATACGCATGCATAAAATGCCATTCATATTCACATTGTGCCTTGATTATAAAGGTTTCGTGAAAGTTTTATGAACACAGCCCTGAACAAAGGTCTAAATAAATTTTGTATGTTTTTAAGATGATTAAATAACTCGTCACATTAAACATTAGTTTAGAGTGTCAATTGGGACATTTTAAGTCAAAGTAGCATTGACAACTCACTTATAAGTATCTCTGCATTTAAAAAATGGGGACCAACACGGCAAATATTTTTTATTATAACAGCTCTATTTGAGACAAGGCAATAAAAACTGACACTGTCCCAGGAAAACATGAGCATGTTTACAGTAATGTAGTTATAATGCAGCATCATTGATTATTTCTCCTTATAGCAGATCTTCATTGAGTGCATGAATATGAACTCATGTGAAATGATGCAACAACATTATAAGAAGTTTAGCTACCAGTATTCACATGCTTTGGACAGGTAAACGCAGCATATTTTATATAAACTGTGTTTCAGTAGAAATAGTATAAATAACTGTGGAAAGTGCATCAGTATATTCATACAGTACCTGTTAAATTTGAAAAGCAGATCCAGGAAAAGAAAAAGAAAAATTAAAAAAATAAATAAATAAACTAATATCAATTGGCATATTATGAATATGTGCAACACTAGAGTCATATGTAAACAGGCTGTAAAATGCTTACAACTAATCAAATATGCAAATAAGGACATTAATCCAGAGATTGGGAATGCACAGTATGAAATGTCAGCATATAAATAACCAGATTAGTTATTAACTTCACAAAGCAAGAAGAGCTATAACATTGTTCATCTGTATAATAACCCTGGGTAAACTATTCCAAGTGTGAAAAGTCCATCAAAATAATGTGTATTAATGTTGTTATTATTCCCCTTGCAGCTGGCACCAGACGATGCATGGAAGTGCCCCCACTGTAAGCAAATGCAGCAGGGAATGGTGAAGATGAGTTTATGGACACTGCCCGACATCCTCATTCTGCACCTGAAGCGTTTTCGACAGGTGGGCAAACGGCGAAACAAGCTCTCCACCCTCATTCGCTTTCCTGTAAGTGCTCTGGATATGACCCCCCATGTGGTGAAACGCAGTCAAAGCATGAAGAATCTGGCCCCGTTGCCTTCAACTTGGAAGCATGGAGAAACTGACTTTCTTTATGACTTGTATGCAGTTTGCAACCACCACGGAGGCATGCATGGAGGCCATTACACAGGTCAGTATGATGTAGGGGCTGTTTTCATTTAAAAGTTTTTCTATTATCGTTGCTTTAGGTTTTATGTTTTTGGGGACTGTAGGCAATGTTTGGTCTTGACCCATATACAACTTTAAAACCCTCTCGCTAATTTTGTCCCAGAAATGTTTACACATGCATTTTAGATTCATTTTTGAGCTTATTTAAAGTCTTAGCTTTGTTGAACAAGGCATTTTACCACTCAAAATATAAATAGTGCCACTTTATTTTGATGGTCCACTATACACATTCTGTCTGTAGTGGAACATGTTACCTGCCAACTTTTAATTGTTGAGCTTTGATTATTTGGGAAGCACATGATTTACCATTAAAGTTCATACAAAGGAATTAAGGTATGAATGAGAGGCTCACAATATGTACAGAACAGATATTTTTTTTACTGTTTCTCTAATTTATAGCCTAATCTGCTAAGGAAACATAACTAATTTAAAATTTATAAGAAAATGTCTGTGATTTTTTAAATGTGTGCATCATATCCAACCCCTAAAACCAACCATTATTTGCATGAGCAAAGTGAAGTTTATTTATAAACTAATTTCAAAAGGATCATGGCCTTATGATTGGCCACGGCTGGTCATTAGCTTTAGCTAACATATCATTTGATAATCAGACGAATTAAACTCACATACTGTAAATATCCAGATTTCCTTACCTTAGTCATCTTCGCCTTAAAGACTCCTCCAATTCACCCCTACTCCTCCCCCTCCTTCCTAGACTAAAGCTGCAGTCACACTGGACTTTTCTCCTCATAGACTCCCATTCATACGTACATGAATGCGTATAACCGAAAATGCAAGCTTGTGCGACAAGTTTCGCACTTCTCTGCATTGCAAAGTTCAAGCTTGGTAAATTTTGACCTGCAAAATTGCATCACTTGACTTTGTGATATCAATCGATGATCAAAACGTGACCTCTCTGGAAAGAAATTTAAAATATTGACCAATCGCTTGCTTTTTTAAATGTCTAATCATCTTGTTAAATCCCACCCCTTTTCGCAGCGCCGTACGACAAAATTTTGCATGATCAACCTCTAGTGTGACTGCAGTTTAATCCAGGATAAGGCGGAACGGCGGCTCAATGGCTTGCACTGTTGCCTCATATAAAGAACATCGCTGGTTCAAGTCCCTCCCCATGTTTGCGTGGGTTTCCTCCGAGTTCTTCGCTTTCCCCCAAAGTCAAAAGACGTGGTATCGGTGAATTGGGTAGGCTAAATTTTCTGTAGTGTATGTGTGTGAATAAGTGTGTACGGATGTTTCCCAGTGATGGGTTGCGGCTGGAAGGGCATCCGCTGCATAAAATATGTGTGAGTTGGCAGTTCATTCCACTGTGGCGACCCCAGATTATTAAAGGGACAAAGCCAAAACGAAAATAAATGAATGAATGGTTCGAGTCCTGGCTTGGCCAATTGGTGTTTCTGTGTGGAGTTTACATGTTCTCTCCGTGTTTGCGTGGGTTTACCCTGGGTACTCCTGTTTCCTCCCAGTCCAAAGACATGCGGTATAACTAAGTTGAATAAACCAAACTGTTCCATATGCTGGTATAGTTGATGGTTCTTTCCACCATGGCAACCTCTAATAATCAGGGAATAGGCTGAGCAAACGAATTTGGGGGAGCTCTCAAAACCTACCTGAGCTTAGACCACCTGATGAAACAGGAGAAGTGAATGCAGTATTGCTATTCATATCATTGGATGTGTAGGAAAATTATAATTAGATGTGATTTAAGGGATTTTTTCTGAAAATAAGTCATTTCAGTTAAATTTTTGTTGTCACTGATCATAGTGAAATCACTGAACATAAACGAACCTGGTTAAAATGCTAATTTAAAAAAAAAGCCTGATGAGCTTACACATTTTTTGTTTCTTAAGTCTTTAGACTTAAGTCAAAAATTTTGAGAGGGGTCTGGATGCAGACCTGGTGCAGTGCGATCTGAGCTGCATCCAATGCTTTTAATGTGCTTACCTAATATCACCCCTAACCTTACCCCACACTAGCTTCATTGAGTGCATTGTGTCTGACATTGCATCATTGACATATGCAGTCTCAGCTTACATTATCAAGGCTGCGTCCAAATACTATTGAAAATATTAGATATAAGGAGACAAAGATGTCTAGTTTAAGGTTTCTTGTCCATGCTTTAAAAACTCTTGGTTTATGATAATTTTCATGATTGTTACCTAGAAACTAAAAGAAACTGTCAGCTCCAAATAAATAAAAAATGAACAATAAAAAATGAACAAAGTTTAAATCAATAGCAAGTCAACAGACCACTCAGTTGATCTGTGCAAAACAGCCTATTGCAGGAACTCCGTGGACGGCCACTGGTACAGTTATGATGACAGCAGTGTGGAGATTGTGCCAGAGGAGGAACTGTGCACACGAGGGGCTTATATCCTGTTCTACCAGAGGAGAAATGTCATCCCACCCTGGTCTGCCAACAGCTCGGTCAGAGGTGAGTGAATGAGCTTTTGTGGCCACATTTTAAATGGCGGCAGGATGACCTTTTGTTTATTTGAATAGATCAATGTTAGGTAGAAAGCACATCTGTAGATTTTTTTTCCATTATTGCAATATGAATGCGCTTTACAGGCCAGTCACAAGAGAGCTCTGAGGCTTGTGCAAACTTAATGTGCTGGGGAGGTTGCTATAGTAACAGACACATCTGACCTACTGATAAACCACTTTTTGGTATTGATGCTGTGGATATTTAAGCAAAAATATTATTGGCTTCATGTATTCAGTTTAACAATATTTAAGTAAAGAGGCTTATCAATATACTGATATGTGCCCTACATATATATTGTATATCTAGAATTTATGGCATATTTACTTCAACAATCATTGGCTTAAAATTGTATTTAAATTTAATTTGAGAAATGTACCCATTGTTTGGTTTGTTCAATGTTGACTCAGTGTTGGTTTACAAGAACCCAGCATTTTTTAGTGTGCACAGACAGACACGCACACACGCACACACACACACACACACACACACACACACACACACACACACACACACACACACACACACACACACACACACACATACACACACACACACAGAGACTCAAAAAGTCTTTTTTGTTTTTTTTTCTATTTACAGTAATACTCAAAAAAAAAGTCTATACAAATGAAGGTTATTGTGGGTGACACAGTGGCTCATTGGGTATATATATATATATATATATACATATACATATATATATACATATATATATATATATATATATATATATATATATATATATATATATATCTATATTATTTGTTATACAATTTTGTTCATTAATACAAGCAGTCAGATATATGAACTGTACCTATATAATTTTACCTGCTCAAAGAAAACACTCTTTGTGAATGTTTAAGACAAAACTCCAAACATACAAAGAACAACATGAGCATTTGTATCAATTAAAATAATGTAAATATTATCCCGCTTACTTTTTTTGAGCTGTCAGGTGAGTTCTTACACTCCTATGATTGGTCATCGTCTTCACCCACTCAATAGAAAGGGCTGTGCTTGACTTTAAAAATAAAAGCGCTGTGACACGAAAGAACAGCCGCGGTTACAGTCTCTATGCGCATAATGCACGGTTATCAGGTAATCTGTGGTGAAGAAAACTCACACCACAGGGACAAGTATCGCCGAGAGCAGAGGAAAAGTTACCCTACGAACACCCCAGTGGGTCAAATGTCCAAAATGTGTGAGAGAGAGAGAGAGACTTTTGACTTTAACAATCTCTTTATTTACAACCACTTTTTTTAACCCATTAATGAAAAATATCAAAAAGAAAAAAAAAAAAAAAGGAAAATAAATATATATAAGAGCTGGTTAACTCACAATCATTCAACAATCAAACAAGTATTTCCAAACAACCATTTTGAACAACTTCACAAAGGCATTGATTAATTCACCATTTAAAAGTGTCCAAATCATCAATCAACTTATAATACGCATAATCTATTTTAATACGGAAAACATGGACTTGCATCTTGTTCCTGTTGTATTTAGGCTCGTAAATAAAAAGACTGTGCATAATAACCTCTCCCAAAATTTGACAGTATCCATTCAGTTGATAAAAGAACATTTGTAATCTAGAGCAATTTAAAAATAAGTGAAACACTGTTTCTTCCACATTGCAAAAAGGACACCCCTCCCTCACCTGTGGATCAATGTGTGCTCTGTGTCTGTTTGTGGCTATTATACCATGCACTATCCTCCACTGAAGGTCTCCAGACCTTGTTTCTATGAAAGGTTTGTACAGGGTCCTCCAGCAATCTTTGGGGGAAGAATCTGGTCCAAAAAGAGTCTGCCACTTTGATTCCTTCAGGCTTTCAAGCATGTGGAAATGCACTACTTTTACACAAAGAGTATACAGTTTTTTCCCCTGCATCTTCAAAAAGACTTGGCTGAGGTCTTCTAAACAAGAGAAGTCCTCCTTCTGTCTCCTGTCATTCTCTTGTATCCGCTGAAAGAATCAACTCTGAAAATACAGAAGCGTCCTTCTCTGAAGTCAATCTAATGTCCACTGGTGAATTCTCCCGTATTTCAATCAACAATCTCTCAGCCACCCATACTGATCTCATGCCCAATCTTAAGGCTAAGGCCTCAGCATTTATCCAATGTCCTTCAGAAACCAAATGTCCAATTTTAGTGATCTTTGCAGACCACAAAGCTTTTCTGAAAGAATCAGATTTAAAAATGTCCAGATCTATAGCAGAATTAAAAAGGAGTGGTTCTTCTCTCGACCAGAGGCCCCATATACTTCTGAGTTCTCTTGAAACCTTAAATCTTGACCATGTTCTCAGCAGTGATCTGTAAAAAGCTGTTAGACCAGTTAAATTCAGCTTGTTAGTGTCCATTAAAAATAAGTGACGACCCAGACCCATGTTACCAGCTTTCTTTTTTTTTTTTTGTCAAATAGGTTTTATTGATGAAGACACAGATTCAAGACAAAATTAATTCTGTTTACATATTTTGTCCACATATAACATAGGCACAGCAAATAAGGAAACTTAAAAGGAGAAAATTAAGAATTAAATAAATAAAATAAAAATAAAAATCACCCACCCACATAACAAGCAAACTTGTTACAAAGACCTGTTTGAAAAACAGAGTATGATGACAAAGCATGTTAAAACATTACAGAAATGATGCATTATTATGAGAGGTTTTTTTCAAGGTAACAGATAAAAGGATTCCAAATTTTGTCAAATTGTTCCAGTTTTCTTTTCAAACAGTATCTAATTCGCTCCAAATGTAACATAGAGGCAATTTCTCCAAGCCACAGTTTACATGTAGGGGATTCCTTTTTTTCCAAAACAGCAACAGTAGCTTCTTGGCAGTAGTTAAGCAGTATGAGAGCATTTTATGTTGTGTATTTGACAACAAATGTGTTTGTTCAGAGAATCCCAGAATTACAGAATTGCAACTTCAACACTTCGGAAAGTACATCAAAAATTCCATTCCAATAATTCTGTATCTTAGAACAAAAAATAAAACTGTGCGATAGATCCGCATCTGATGAATTACATTTGTCACAAAGAGGTGAAATATTTTGGAAAATTCTATGTAGTTTTTTCTTTGAATAATGTAACCTTTGAATAATTTTAAATTGAATAAGACAGTGTCTAGAATTAATAGATTGTTTATTAATATCCTCCAAACCTGATTGCCACATTTCTTCTGAAATTTCCACTCCCAATTCTTTCTCCCACTCTTCCTTAAAACATTTTGTAGAGGGGGAAGTAACAGATAGTAGTTGTTCATTAATTATTGATAATGGTTTTTTACTACCTTTACACCAATCTAGGCATTTGTCAAGGATGGAAGGGGATGTACTATTCAATGAAGACGTATGGGCATGTATGTAGTTCCTTATCTGTAAAAATCTGAAAAAATTATTCTGAGGGAGTTTAAATTTCTGCTGTAATTGGTTAAATGAAGCTAGATTTCCATCTGCGAAAAGATCTCCTACAGTATGTGCACCCATTTCCTTCCATTGCGTAAAAGTCCCATCTAATGTAGACGGAATAAATGATGGATTCTTTGCAATGGGAGTTAAAAGAGAAATTGACTTTATCTTAAAATGGTGTTTCATCTGTTTCCAAATGCGATGCATATTTCGAATTAAGATACTGCTGTTAAAAATCGAACCTTCTAAAGTTACAGGTGAGAGAATTACTGCCCCTAGATTATATGGATGACACTGATCATACATTAGTTGGAGCCATGTTGGTGGGGCTTCATGGTTATCCAAGCATATTGAAATTAGACTTAAGAAGGATGCCCAGTAATAAAGGCGAAAGTCTGGAAGTGCCAGACCTCCCTCCTGTTTAGACTTACAAAGATGTGCCTTTTTAAATCTATGATTTTTATATCCCCACAAGAACGGAAGAATGGTCGAGTCTAATTGTTTAAAAAAGGATTTAGGTAGAAAGATTGGAATATTTTGAAATAAGTAAAGTATCTGTGGTAAGAATATCATTTTTATTGCATTTATTCTACCATACAAATATATTGGGAGTGTCTTCCAAAATTGTATATTTGCTTGCAGTTTGGAAATTAGGGGGGTGTAGTTGGCACTAATGAGTGCTGAATATTTATATGTAAATACAATTCCAAGATAAGAAAATTTTTCCATTGAAACTTTAAATGGAGAGGAATGTATTGAGGACAGATCTTTTAGTCCAATGGGCATTAATTCGCTTTTATCGAAATTGATTTTGAACCCTTAAAATGTGCCAAAGAATTGAATAGTGTTCAAAACGTTTGGTATAGTAATATGGGGTTTTGTAATGTATAGTAAAATGTCGTCTGCGTATAGAGATATTTTATTAACTGTTTCTAAAGTATTAAAACCATGTATAGTTGGATCAGAACGAAAATGTTGAGCAAGGGGTCTATAACAATGCAAATAACAGGGGAGATAGAGGGCATCCTTGTCTGGTCCCCCTTTGAAGATTAAAGGGACCAGACAAAGTGTTATTATTTAATACCTGAGCTGTAGGGCATTTATATAAAATCTTTATCAAATTTATAAAGTTATCTCCCATGTCAAATTTTTCTAATACTGCAAATAGATAATGCCATTCTACTCGATCGAATGCTTTTTCTGCATCGAGTGAGATTATTACCAGATTTTCTTGAGCAGCTTTGGAGTGATGCATTATATTAAAAAGGCGCTTTGTATAAATCCAGGAATAAATCCATTCTGGTCAGTATGAATTAGACCACTGATTAATTTAGCTAATCTATTGGCGAGTGTTTTTGACAGAATTTTCTGATCTACGTTAAGGAGAGAAATTGGTCTAAATCCTTCCACCTCCTCTGTGTTTTTACCTTTTTTTGGAATAACAGTGATGACTGCTTCATTGAACGTTGGTGGTAATCCGCTCTTTAATGCCTCCTTAAATGTCTCAAGAAGGTAAGGTGAGAGTATATCACTAAAA